AGTTTCAAGTAATGCTTAAATTTGGTTTTTAAATATTATTATTAATATTTCTAAGAGAAAATAATTTGTTTAATTAAATGTCTAGATTTGTTTAGGAAAGAAAGTAATGCTTAAATCTGTGTTTTTGGAGAAAGTTTATATAGAATGATGATTGTATTTAGATTTGTTTAGGATTTAAAAGTGTTTCAAGCTTTTAAATATTATTATTAATATTTTTAAGAGAAAATAATTTGTTTAACTAAATGTGTCTAGATTTGTTTAGGATTTTTAAGGTTTTTTTTTTTTTTTGGATAGGTGAGAAGATTATGAAGATTGAAGGAAATATGTATTTACTTTAAGTTTTCTAAGAGTATTTAGTTTTAATGGTACAACAAAGGTTTATATGTTTATTTTTTTGTATTAGGATAAAGAAAGAGGGAGAAATTAGATTTTACATTATAGCTATAGATATTCAAAGAAAGTAATGTTTAAATTTGCGTTTTTGGAGGGAGTTTATATAGAATGATGATTGTATTTAAATTTGTTTAGGTTTTAAAAGTGTTTTAAGTTTTTTTCTCAATTAAGCCTGTATTCAGCTCTGGGAAGTCTAGGGGAGGGTTGGGAGGTTGGGGAGGAGGGGGGTGAGGTAGGGTTGGGGGGGGTATGGGAAGGGGATTTGTTTTTGTAAAAATTTAAAAATTTTCAATAAAAAAAAAAGAAAAGAAAAATAAAAAAAGAAAGCATGCAGATGCAAGTGGATTAATAGGTACCACTTTGGTGGGAAGATAACAGGGCTCCATGCACCTTTTGTGTACGGTCATGCTGGCCACATGAAGTCATCTTCGGATAATGCTGGCTCCCTCAGCCAAGAAACAGAGAGGAGCTCTGTGCCCTTGAGTCGGACACGACTTATAGGAAACCTTTACCTTTTTGCTTTCACTAAGTATAGTTATACTGACTTCATTTGCTACATTCAGGCCACCCAATTTCACCAATCTAAATTAGAAGTTTATAATTTCCTCTTCACAATCATGCCAAGGATGAATGAAGGAAAGGAGGAACTCAGAGACCCAAATCTGTTCCAGTCATCCTCATTTCCAGAGTCAAATGGTGACTTAGACTAGATTAAATCTAAACTAACCTCAGGATGTTATTTACTATATGCGTGATAAGAAAAACGTGTAGTAAAAATTAGGCATATAAGAGAGGGAACCTATAAAACAACCCACTGAAAACTATTAAGCTCAGAGCTTTCTGAAAAGTGTCTTCTTCACTGGACAATCCATCCAAATATACAGACTATTTTCTAGTGTATCTGAGATGATAAGGTTAACATTCGGATTGTGCAGCACTTTAAATCAGAAGGGGGAAAAGTGCTTCAAAGCATACATAGTGCACATATTGCCCGTTAGCAGCTGCTTAAACTTGCCACAGTTTTCTTTTTGCAGTTGTGCTGCAATGAGGGGTTAAGGAGGTGGTTGTATGATTCCAGAAAAAGATATGATTGCTTTCATAAATTGATGTACTATGTGACTCTTCCTACATCCTCCAATAAACTCTCTGTGTTTGAATGTAGAACTCCGTAGCCTTGTAGATAGGCATGGTTTGGAGGATGCAAACCTGAAATACCACATAACAAAAATGCAGCAGGATAAAGACATTTAACAGGATGCATTTAACATTAATTTGACACAACTAATACTTTGACTGAAAAGTTTCTAGTTACCTTAATTTTATGATGTCTACATACATACAAAAACACATATATCTAGGAAATAAATTAGGTTGCCAAAGATTTCAGAATGTAGACTAAGTAACTAACAAGCAAGACATGGCTTCTAAATAACCTCGGATCATGCTGCTGAAATTGGGTAGCAATGTGGCTAAATTTTCTCTTTGAATTTTTTACTTTTTTCTTTTAATAATGAGGATAGAAATGGCAAGCCAATAACTATAATTTCCTCTCTTAATACTTTCACACATACACACACACACACACACACACACACACAAACACTGAAGATCACACACTATATGAAATTTGGCAGCAAAAATCATTAAAGAATTTTTCTTTATTTTCTTTTGAAAAGAGAGTTGTAATGGAAGTATGAAGCCCCTGAAAGGTAAAATACTCCCTTCTCCATCCTTAACTACACCCCCAGTTCTAATTTAGAAGAACACGCACACACACTAACATCAGAGTAAAATGGATTAATATTAGCAATATATTTTAGACCACTTTGGAGAGTATGGAGGTGGTGAAAGGCAGAGATGAGAGGCATTTTCCTGTTGCTGTTCTATCATCTCCAAAGCCATGAAAAAGAATCTGAATTTTTTCATTGCAATATTACCAGAAAATGCCTATAGCCTTTGAACAGGTTGTTAGGCTGAGTTGTGCCCTTCACACCATTACAAGTTGCCACTCCAATCAAGTCAGCTTCATTAATATTTTAATGTTCTGATCCAATTTAATTTAATATTCCATGGGATTGTTCCCTTCTCTTATAAGTGAAACAAAATTTTAAAATCTTGCCATTTTTTAAATACAAGATCAAACTCTTTACAAATTTCCCAAACTGGCACTTCCAGATATATCCAATTATAAATTTTAGTCCCAATCAGCATTATCATTAGTAGATAATTTGTAACATATCTAGGAGTGTCATATTGGTATGTCCAACCTTTGTTTTGTGTCAGTCTTGTTCTACCAAATAGGCTGAAATGCCACATCTTCTTCTTACTGAACAAATCTCCCTTAATATCCTGCTCAGTAGAGAACAAGTAGCATGAGAAAGGACCTTTGAAGACTGTGTAGAATCCCTGTCAGTTAAATAGTTGTGAGAGAGATTGAAGCTTTTCAAGTTCTGAAGAGAAACCACCAAAATAGTTTTCCTATTTCAAGGGTAAGATTGATGACAGGTCTTAGTTAAATGCAAAGAAAATAGCTGCTCATGAAATGTCTTCCTGTAGGTGACAAAAATCCTCATGAAATCCAGTCCTTCTTAAACACTGTCTGTTGATGATTCTGTACATCATCATTAAATTTTGCTAACACTGATTTGCGAAGAAAAGCAGACTTATATTTTCAAAACTACATCTGATTTTAGTTTATTTGACTCTGCCTGGGAACAAATCTATACCAATAAATGCATTCATTGCCATGTTCTTAACATGTAAATCAAACTGTTTAGAAAATCAAGCTTCAAAGGTTAAAGGAAATAGATTTGTGTTTAAAGAGACATACAGGGATATCTTTTGAAACATTGATAGGAGGAAGGTAGAAGGGTTGCAAAATTTCTCAGGCATGATCCACATTTGCCCAAGATGAAAATATAGCAATTAGATGAGAACACTAGTCCACAATTGACCTTGTACCTATCAGAGTAATATTCCTGTCCAGACATTACTTACTGGGATATCCAGACTCATCAGAGGGTTGTTATAGGCAAAACTGATTAAGAAGACAGGCCACAGAACAGAGATTTCCCACCGGCACACCATCTTATTTAATTAGTCAGTGGCTTAAAAGAAAATGTAGAATCTTTGGAATTGCCCTTGGGCTAAAGCAGAAATAGGAGCCAAGTCCAGTTTTCTTTATTCTACCCATCCCCGTTTTAAAGCATAGATTAGATATGCTTCAGGCTTGTTTTATAACACATGATTTATGAACTTAGATAAGGAGTACAGTGAAAGCACATTAAGCTTCAGCTTAATAACTGGGGATACCCCCCCCCAAAGAAAGGGGGAAAGCAGATGTAGAAGATGTAGACAAAGTTGTCATCCTTGAATTTCTCCCAGAGTGATAAGGAGGACCTCCCAGAGTGAAATACTCTACCCAAATTCTAGTGAGTGAATGTGTGTGTAAATATTTCCATGTATTTCAAGGTTGAATGGAGGCACTGAAAAACAATTCAGAGATTAAACTCTTGGGAAGAAAGCATCACTATACCATATAGCTTGTGAGAAGACCAAGAAGGAAAAGATATTTATCATGAATGCTTGAAATACAAAATTCTGCAAATAAGGAATGTGAAAACCTGCATTCTGACACCACCGCAGACAGTTTCCTGTTCCCTAACCAGGCTGAGAAGGAATCTCTTAAGTTAAGGATCCCCAGCTCCACTCACTACATCCCCTGCCCCCTTTGGGGCAAGGCTGAGAGCTTGGAAGTGGGTTGGGCAAAAAGTCACTGTTGCAGCAGGGCTTCAACTGGATTTGTATTTCAAAAGGCTTCTGAATCCCTTTTTAGGATAAGCCCCACCCACCTTCAATTCAGTGGCTGAGATGAGGAATGAGGCAAGTCTTCTCTACTCAGCACCCCTAGGGGCCCCAAGAACCTTCAAAGGACTAAGCTTGAGGCCAAGGGAAGCCAAGACAAAACCCCATCCCCTTGAGAGAGCAAAGTGCCCTGGTGATCATCAATGGTTGCAAAAATATTTAAAGTCCTGTATCTCATAATAGCCATTGTCCACTCCCCAGCCTTTAAGGGGAGAGGTCCTAAAATTTGCTCTTCTGAATCTGTTCCCTCACTTCTGGATGGCACTAGCTTAGCACAGAGAAAGCCAAGACGTCTCATGGTCTTAGCAAGCAGGTCCACACCCACTTTTCTGCCAGTTACAGGGAAAAGATACTTTTATCTCTCACTCCACGTCTTGATCCACTGGGTAGGACCTTTAGCCAGTTTCACGCATTTTCTTTCTTCACAACTCACATTTAGGATTTGTCCCTCCCCCTCCCCCTCGTTAGACCCTCAAGTCTGGGTCTTCCCAATAGTACAGGCCTTTTCCCGACCACCTCGAAGTACCCCACCCATTTTCTTGCACCCAAATATCGGGATAGCGGCTACGCCCACCATCCATTTTTCTGCCTCCCAGTCACTTCCGATTACGATGGGCAGCCCGTTATTCGCCGCCGCGGAGCAAAAAATGTTGCCAGCCACTCCCCGCATCTGAATCCTCCAGACGGGCTGGCCATGGCGTAGTGGCCTCCGTCCGTTGTGCCGCCGAAAGCTCTTTACCCACCTTTGGGCTGGAGACGCCCTCGCCCACGGCCAGGACGATTCCCGCCGCCTCCATGCCAGGGCTAACGGGCGGCGAGGGAAGCCTCTCGTAGAGCCCTTGGCGAGCCAGCAGGTCAGCAAAATTGAGCCCGCAGGCCCGGACTTGCACGCAGACCTGGCCAGCGCCCGGACTGGGTTCCGCTTGAGGCAGCTGCCGAATCTGCACCTTCACTTTCTCGTAACCACCAAAGCCGGTGAGCACCAATGCCCTGTACTGGCGTCCAGCAGCAGCGGTACTGGTAGAAACGGCAGGCGCCTCCTCCGACGTCCCCCCAGCAGCTTTTCCTTCCCCGTCAGTCGCTGGTGCCTCGGCCACTGCTTCTTCGTTCCGCTGCTGGTCTGCGGGAGGAGCAGCAGTGCTCGTTTGAGGGGCTCCCGCATCATCCCCGACAGCTTCTTCCCCGGACATGGCACCTTCTTGGGTACTAGCAGCTGTGGTGTGCCTACACTAGGAAGAGGAGGAGAAGGGGAAAGGCGCGGCTGACCAGATGCGCTAAACAGCTGTAGGCAGCCTGCAAAACCCGGAGCTGGATCTAACTTATAGTATGCTGAGTTGAAAAACGCGGAATGGAAAGCAGACTAGATGGCTCCACCTAGAAAGACCTGCCCGCCTGACTTTTCGTCAGTCCATCCAATACGCCCATTCTCTCCTTGTTCAAGAAACGAGGCGGAGACTAGAGTACTGGGTGTGCCCAGCAGAAACAAAGTGAAGCACATGCTTGTTTTTTCTGTAGTCCCCCTGAGCATATCAGAGTCATTCCCAAGTAAAATCGCACGTAGCATCGCATATGTACAACCAGATTTAATGCGTGTGTTTTTGGAACGAGACCTTCTGTTGAATGAGTCTAACTTCTAAGCAAATACGCATAAAATGGCAACCCTCCTTTATGCATTTCTTCTGAGCTCAGTTAGTTTATTCTCCCAAGGAAGCATGCATAGAATATTAAGTCTCCCTGTCGCTCCCTCATTTTCCAGAATCCTCTCTGTTATGGTAGTAATGTATCACTATTCAACATGCTTTTCTTGCTGTTTTTCCTAATTTCATCATTACAACCATTTCTTTTTCTGAGGCGTCCTTGGTGCTCTCTGAGCTTGTTTGTTTTCTTGCAGACATTTCATTACCCTAACTAGGTAACATCATCAGTGCTAATAAGGAGGGCTATTTGCTGTCAGTTTATAATCTGGTGTCTTGCCTGTCTGGGTGGGTGAGGGCTGTCTTAGGTTGGGCTGTTCGCTAATGGCTCTTTGGCAGTTTCTTGACTGTATTGCTTACTTGACTGCTGGTCTGAAGTTCACCTTGGAGCTAATCTATGCTGATCTGAGTGCTAATTGCTGGGTGGAGATAATGTGGAATAATAAACAATCACTAGAATAATGATGTGTCTGCATAATTACTGGAATAATGCTATGTTAGTAGTATGTGACTAACCTAATGCACATTGCACTTGGATACAATGTATGTAACAAATTCTCTCCATTGTATACCCATGAGAAATGAACCTAATATATTACAATGTGTATTACAATGTATATTCCTTTGTTCATGAGAAAGGGAAAGTATAAAACTGAAGTCTGAACCCACCCTCGGGGGTTCAGAATTGCTTGTTGCTACGGCTTCTGAACCTGCCCAATAAATCTCTCTGCTAAAACGCTCTGGAATTCATAAGAGTCCTTCCATTTTCCACAAGAGAGAGGTGCTGGAGTCTTTTCCTCTTTTGGGATGGTTGTGTGTGAAGAATCCAGAGAAAGAAATATCTTGGGAAATATTAAAAAGGCAGAATATATTTCCTGAAATGAATAATGGAGAAGATCTTTTAAAAAAGAGAGAAACTAGCCCTCAGAAATCAGCCCAGCCCCTAGGCAGAAGCCAGCTTTTAGAAATGCAAATTCAATAATCCTTTCAGAAAGGTTGGAGCCTTCCAGCTAGAAACTGAAGAGATTAGGAAGACAAAACCCCCTAAAATCTACATACCCCCACCCAAACTCTAAAACAGGACATAATAGGATTAACCAATGCCAAAAAGGCACATTCAGACTCAGGTCAAAGTACATGACACAGGAAATACAAAGCCTCAAACAGGAACAGGAAACAATCTCAAGAGCCCCAGAAGGTATAAAAATCCACTACTACCTGTTACATGTGATCAGTTTTCCCAGAGCCATCCTTCTGTCTGGCTCTCATTTTCAATAAACCACAACCTTCTTTCTAAAGCAGTTTCCATTTTGTTTATTCCCAGCTTGGACTGGACCCTGACGAAGATTTTTTTCTCAAGAGTTAATTGTCTCTTTTGCATGGTCTATGGATGTTGCTAATGTCTACTTATATATATCGTCCAAAAAAGATACCAGGTTTTATTTTTGGGGAATGTCTTACCTTAGGACAGAGCTTTTTTTCTAAAAAAAAAAAAGATGCCAGAACTCACACACGTCATACAACTCACCTTGCCTACCCTATAAGGTTCCATCCGGAACTCTGTTCTGGGCGTTCTATGAGAAAAAAAGCCCTGCCTTAGGACCACCACAACCAGGCCTCCTAAGCCCCAACACCTGTCACAACGCTGCCCGAGTTCTTCTGCGGCTGCTTGTGGCCACACATTATGTGGTGCATTGCGCTGCTGCCACTGCTCACATTGCAAGGCTTATCAGGTTTGCACCACAATCGGTTCAACGAGTGGCCTCCTGCAAGTGGTGGCAACAGCAGGATCAGTGCAACGAGCCTCATGCTGCGATCAGCAGGAATGGCGTGATCGATTTGACAAGCCTCGCGGTGCAAACATCAGCAGCAGCATGATGAGTTTCGTGCTGTGAATGGCAGCAGCAGCATGATGCACCATGTGGTGTGCATCTGCAAGCGGCCGCAGAAGAACTCAGGCAGCAGCGCAACAATTGTCAGGGCGTGGAAGGCCTGGCTTCCAGGTGGTCCTAAGGTAGGTGGGTGCAGGGCCCGTGGGGCAGCTCCATCCTCCCACCTCTGCCCTAGTTTGATTTTTAGGCATGTGCCTCACCCTAGAACTAGGGCTTATTTTTGGGATAGGGCTTATATTAGGCCCACCCCCAAAAATCAAGATAGGGCTTATTTTCGGGGTAGGTCTTACTTCCAGGGAAACATGGTATGCGTCTATTGATAGCTGATTTGTCAGAGTGCCAGGCTTCTAGAAAATCCCTGGGCCTGGTCTAGGATTGTCACATTTTCCCAGTTTAAACCATGGTTAAATCTGTCTATATGTTGTGAAATTAAAGAATTTTCGTCATGACTTTTGATCACCAGTTGGTGTTCATGGATGTGTTCTGCTAGTCTTCTGCCTGTTTATCTACATAGTGGTTGCTGCAGTTCTTACAGTGTATGTTGCAGATGACTCCAGGTTTTCCTTCTTGGGTTCCTGGGTTTTTTTCTTTCTAATTTTTTTCAGAACAGATCAGGAATATAGCAACTGATAAATGTAAATTTGCATTGTTGGTGTCCAAAGGTTCAGATACAAGTTTTACTAGTCCAAGTTGAATTTGAGAGCTATATGTAAAAGCATGAACTTACAGTGGCTCAGTTCACACATCATGTGATTGATTATAATCACGATTGGTTCAGCAAACTATAGAGATATGGTTCATACATTAACACTAAGTCATAAATAATGGTTTACGGTTTACTTAAAATGACAAACTGCAGCTAACTTTGATATGCAAAGGCCATATATGAGGCCATACTTATCTGAGTCCATACATAGTGCTATGCCACAAACCAGTCGGCTATTGAGTTTGGCCATTACTCCATCTACCACTACTATCTACCACTAGGTCAACTAGTAGCAACATTTCAGGTTTCTAGGACTAAGAATTCCAGCCCTTCTTGAAAATCCTGACAATTGTCACTGGGCTTTTTGCATGTAGAGAAATTCTGTGTGATTAACACTCTAATCCTATGGTGGTGAACCTATGGCATGCATGCCACAGGCGGCATGCAGAGCCGTCCCTGTGAGCATGTGCGCCATCGCCCCAGAGGGAGGTGGGGCCATGCTACTGCCCTCCAACTTTCCATGTGTGCCTCTCTCTCTCTCTCTGCACTATGAGTCGAAGCAGCTGCAAGAGCTAGGTGGATCTGGGCCGGATGGTGAAGGCAGCTGCCAGCACGAGTCCAGGTAAGCCTGCAGAGCAATTTTGCACACACCCCTAGGGCCGATCTGGGTGGCAGAGGCCTTTCCCAAGCCTCTGGAGCTTGGATCCATGGGCCGGGGATGATTTTGCGGTGCCTCAGTGGCCTGATCTGGGCTTCGGAGGCTTGGAAAAGGCCTCTGCCACCCAGATCTATGCCTTCAGAGCAATTTTGTGCCCCTGCCCAGCCGATCCAGGTGGCAGAGGCCTTTTCCAGGCCTCCGGAGCCCGGACCAGGCCACTGGGCACTGCAAAATTGCCCCAGGGCCATGGATCCAAGCTCCAGAGACTTGGAAAAGGCCTCTGCTGCCTGGATCGGCCAAAGGGTTGGGCGCAAAATCGCTTTGCAGGCATAGATCCAGGCAGCAGAAGCCTTTTTGAAACCGCAACGGCAGCACAATCCGTGCAGCGGGTGGGGGGAAAACGGTGATGGTGCCAGCGCGATCCCTGCAGCAACTGGGGAGAAACGGCAGCGGTGGCACTGTGATTCCTGTGGTGGGTGGGGGTGAAACTGCCCCAGTTGTTCTATGGCTGCTTTCAGCCGAGCCATATTGCAGCAGCCTTGGGCGCAATATGCAAAGCAGCAAACAGCTGTGTCATGCCGAAAGTGGCCGTTTGCTGCCTCCTGCCCAATGTCGTTGCCATGAGGCTGCAGAACAAGCTGGGCAGAGATAAGGAACCGGGTTGGGGCTCTGCGAGGGTTGGATCGGAGTGGCGGGAGAAGGGTGCTTTGCGAGGGTTGGGTCGGGGCAGCGGGAGAACAGCACTCTACGATGGTTGGGTTGGATGCATGTGGAATTGCTGCCTCACTTTCCGTGCCGTGCCAGGGCTGGGCTGGACTGGGTGTGGAGCCTTCATGCCTCTTCTTCCATTGCGGACATTGGAAGCATCCACCCCTCATCCTGGGGCAGCTGCCACCGTCCCGCGCTCTCCATCCCCTCGATGGCTACCTGGGTGCACTGAGCTCGGGCCTCAGGCAGATGGAGGCCAGAGGGGAGCGAGAGCCATGGCTGCCCGGCTCCTCTGCTTGAGGACGCATGCAGGGAGAAGCACTGCCCAATTCGGTAAGCCGTGGTCTGCCTGCAGGAGGAGGAGGATGGAGGAGGAGGGCTGGCCAGGGATGGGCACAGCACTGCCCATGGGGAAAATCTGACCAGCCCCAGCCTGGAGGGGGGGAGACGGAAGCGTTTGGGAGGGGGTGTAGCTGCCTCCTTCCCCCCCCCAAGCCATCAGCTGAGCAAGACGCCCTCATACTCACTGCCCCACCCACTGGAGACCCCCTGGATCTCTCTCAACCCTGCCCGGCCCCCACAGGCATCCCTCCCCAGGAGCAACATCGATCTGGCCACGCCCACCCTGGTCGTGTCCTCCCAGTCTGCCATGACCACTGTAGCCATGCCCACCCAGCGGCTATGCCCACCCAGCATCCACACCCATCCAGTGGCCCACGTCCACCTGGAACCCTACGATATATAAGTGGGTTTTAGGTTGCAGTTTGGACACTCGATCTCACCGCTGCTCTAATCTCATCACTTGTGACATTTTTTTCTCCAGAGAATTGATATTTTCATTAATGTAGACCATGGGTCAGCAACCCGCGGCTCTGGAGCTACATGCGGTTTTTTGAGCCATCACCTGCAGCTCCGGAGCCTCCTCCACCATTTGCAGAGAGAGAGAGACAGAGAGGCACTTTCACTTCCCTTCTCTCTCCCTCTCTCTCTCTCTCAGGCGGACTTACCTCCTGCAGGACTCCTGATTGGCCCTGCGCCTGAGTGCCCCACCCCCTGGGAGAAGTGCGGCCAGGGCCTTGTGGCCTTGGAGCCGCCCGGGGAAGCCCCGAGATCCCTGCTGGGAGTGGCCCGCTGGAGGCTCCGTTGAGTGGGGCAGCCCTCCTGCAAGCCGCGGCCCAAGGGAGACCAGCCCCTGTGATCCCCAGCAAGCCCGACCATTAGCCCCGCTGGTCGGGAAGGCACGCTGGAGTCCAGGCTGCTGGGAAGGAAGAAGGAGATGCAGCAATGGTAGGAGAAGAGAGCCTCCTCCTGGGGCCTGGCGCTGGCGGCAGCTTCCTTGCCCTCCTCCCCTTCTTCCTCCTGCTGCCCCCCAGGCAGCTTGGGCAGGTGCTGTCCCCACCGCAGCTCCATCAATGGGTGGAGGGCGAGGCGGGCAGCATGGAGTCCCGGCTGGAGTGGCAGTGGCGATTTCCTCACCCTCCTCCTC